GGGGGGTGCGGCTCCGGCCTCTCCGTCGGCGGTGGCGCTGGCGCCTGCTCTAGAACTGGCGCTGGGGCGGGTGGTGGTGCCTGCGTTGGAGATGCGGGCCCTTGTGCCGTGCGATGGGCCTGGTGGGCGTAGGTCGGCTCCTGCCTTGGCTTGCGTGTCTGCTTTCCCCCCTCCCTTCCCTGGACTCTGGGCCGCGGTTGGCCCAGGCCCAGCCCACCTTGGTGCTGTATGTCGAACCGGGCCTGGCTCGGTTCGGGTATATATGGATCTAGAAGGGACCGGTTCCCCGATTTCTAGGGTTTCCTGCCTCCTCATCTGATCTACGTCGGCGCCACTTCCCCATTCGCTCCTTCGTCCGATCTGCTCATCCTTCCCTCTCTCGTTCTTTCGCGGCGGTGGTCGCGATGGACCGTTCGCGCGGGTCCTCCAACGAGGCTGTCTCCGGCCAGAAGCGGGGGCGCGACGGATCTGGCGAGGCGGCGGCTGATCTGGAGTATGAAGCTGCGCTGCGCGCTAAGCTCTAGGCGTCGCTCGCTCCGGAGGCAGGGTCGGCTGCGACGACGGCCGGTTCATCCCCGTGCGCCTCCGGATCTGGGCTGGCGGATCTCTCGCTGCCCTTGCATGGTGCTCCTCCGGCTGTTGCCGACCCGTGGGAGGTGGCGGCTGCGGGGAGTCGGGCTGGCTCGTTAGGGCCGGTCCCGCCGCCTCCCCCGCATGGTGCTGTGTCCCTGGGTGGTGGGTCGGTGCGGGCTCCGGCGGTGGTTGGTGGGGGGCCGTCTTGTTTCGTTCCGTGTGGTGCGTCGGGGGCTCCGGCCTGTCACCCCGTTGGCTCTCTCGCTGGGCGGGGTGTCGGATCTGGGCCTGGCGCGGCTGGTGATGGTATCCTCCCTCCTCCCCCTCGTGGTCCTGGTCACATTACTCCTCAATCTCAGGTTGTCAACCCCACTCTCACCTGCTTCGCGTGTCACCGTCCTGGTCACTTTCAGTCCCGGTGCCAAAATCCCCCCTTCTGCCTCATCTGTAGGGAAGACGGCCACCTCACGGTGGACTGTCAGAATCGTTCCAAACCTCCTGCCTTCGTTCACTATGGCCTTGGCTTTCCTGGGTGCTCATTTTTCGCATTAGATAGGGAGGTCCCTGCTGCAGCTCCTATCCCTGCGCTATCCAACGTCGGCATCATCTTTGTCCAGTCCAAACACATTACATCCCAGGTCCTTCTTGATGAGCTCCAAATGTGGGATGAGGGAGGGTGGGATTGGCAAATCCGCCAGCTTTCAGATTTCGAGTTGCTGCGACCTTCCCTTCCAAAGCAAGTCTCCGCATGATTTCCTCTTATTCTAGCTTCACGCTACCTCTGAATAAATTGATTGTTTCGGTCAAGGCTGCTTCTAACGGGTCCAAGGCTATCTCCTCCCTGTCTGATGTATGGGTTCTAGTTGAAGATGTGCCTCCTTCAGTGCGTACCACGACGTTTCTGATGGCCTTCGGGGTTCTCATCGGCAAGCCTATTGAGGTCGATCAAGATTCTTTGGCTATCCTCGGGCCGGTCCGTCTGCGGGTTTGGTGTGTTGACCCCCTGTGTATTCGTGGTTCCATTGATGTCTTCCCTTCGGCTGGTGGCTTTCGGCTCAGGGTTCGGGTGAAGGGTGCTTCGGGTCCGGTGTCGCCCCCAC